TTAAGAGGGAACGGACGTTCTGCAGTCTGGAACGGACGTTCTGGTCTGTGCGGTCCGTCCGTTCTCGTATGGCCGTGGTCCGTCCGTTCTGGTCCCTCTGGAACGGACGGTTTTTTTTTTTTTTTTTTTTTTTTTTTTTTTTAAAGAAACCGGGTTGTTACAGCGGACGATTGCGTTATCACCCGTTACACCATCACACCCTCTGCTACCGTCACGTGCCCTTATTATTTTTTCTCCTATTTATAATATATATATATATATATTTGGGCTTCCATATAAATAGCCCTTGGTTCGGTTGGAGGCATGGGAGCATTCGGCAGTCGGCAGCAAACACTGAATGCAAAATCCAAAGTGTACTGCTTGTCGTTTTATTACACTGGCAGTCCATCTTGCTCGAGCTTTGTCTCCCTCTCTTTTTTTTTTTTACATCTTTGATTTTTTTTAGTTGTTTTCACGAATATCTATTTTTTATTTATCAACCTATCTTGACTTGTCAATTGGTTTCTTATTCTCCTACAATTTTTTTTTTAAAAAAAACAAATGTGAATCTAGATACTAGTCTGTTTTAAAATTCATTTTTCAGGAGATTTTATAAAATATGTAAAACAAATTACAGTCGACAAATTAGATTTTGCAAATTATTTTCATTTTAATAAATTATTATTTAATATTATTTAAGTTATAATTTCTGTCATTAACCGAGCCATTCAGCAACAACGGAACACATGGAAATGACACTATAAAGATGGTTGTCGTTGGGTTTATTTTATTCCGAATTATAATAAAATATATTATATTATAAATTTGTAATATGCATGTAAAAAGAATAAGGCACACGGGTTTTGGTTTCAATAATTGGTGAGACTAATAAATTAATTATTATAACTTACTAAATTTAGGAAAAACAAATATCTATCGAGAATAGATTCATTACTTGCTCGTTTCATACAGGGGTCGAATTATTCTTGAAATATTTCTTTTAGTTTTATATTTTGATTAAAAAAATATTTCTCCCAAAATAAAAAAAAATTACTATTCCTTTAAAGGGCAATGCTCTTTGATGGATTGGGGATGCAGAATTCTTTAAAGGGCAATACTATTCCTCAAGAAATTGTAACTAGCTTTGTTTTCTTTATATACATTTCTGTTCCTATAATTAAAATAATTATACATTTTTTTTACATTACATACATAAAAATATTATTATGCAAACTATGTTTCATAAATATTTGGTATACGAGACACGTATCATGTCAAATGCTATATCGTGTCATAATATTTATAGTATTAAATCTTTATTATATAATTCATATAAAATATAATATCTAAAAGGTAGCAACAAATTAAATCCGTGTACAACATTTTTTTTAAAAAAAAGGAAATTCTTCCATGGTCTCATACGCTGGGTATAAACATTATTATCAAAACTTAAATCTTTTTTTTTTCTCCCCACAAAACTATTTCCTCGCATGTTTTAAGGTCTAAGTTTGATAAACAACTATAATGAATTTCCCCTCGATCGATTTTAATATTTTATTTTATTTAACATTCTAGTTAATCAAGATTATTTTTGTCAAGTAACTTAGACGCCGACCATGAGACAATATCAAGTTAATTAATATATAATTTGATTATCATATACCAACTCTTTTGTCTTGTCTACCGAAATATAACAATAGATTTTCCTGAATTCCATTGGATAAATCTCATAATTAATTACCTGTTGATCACTCGAGATAGGGGCAATCAATATATGATTCACACTTAGATTTTGTGGGCCACATTTATGTTGACTTGCAAAACACAAGGGAGTAGGCGACAATGAAATCGTTCATTGTCCTAAACAAAAACTACTTCGAAAGTCTGTAATTTGTCTCCAACAGATTTTTCTGATAAATGAAATTAAAAGAAATGAATCATTAACTTAAAATGAATGGAGTGGAATGTGATTTATATCCGCGCATATATATATATATATATATATATATATATTAAGATACTTATCGATATTTAAGAAGATTTTTTCTCTATAAATATTAAATATGTTTACGTATGGATTTCAAAGATAGTTAGCTGGACATGTTATACTTTTTAGTAAGATGAGTGGGAATTTTAAAGATACGGTCCGATAATAGTTTTTTCGGAATTATAAAATTTGTACAAAACTAGTGCTGTATGTTATTTGATTCGCTTCGGTATAGATGGTTTGATACGGTATGATTTTATTAAATAAGTACTAAATCAAAATAAAAATCGATGCGGTTCGGAAGGGTTTGGATTTTAATAGTAAGATTTATAGCTTACTTATGTATAGATAAATAAAAGTAAAAAAAATCCAACTGAATAATTTTAGATAACAAAATAATAAATCCTGATGTATCGCATTATTTTAATTTGAGAATTTTTTACTTAATGTAAACAAAAAATTAATAAAATGTTAATGAGGGACCCAATGAATGTTATTGGTGGGTACGTATTGTTTATTTTAGAGTAAATTAATGGATTTAATAAATCTGTCGTGTGATTTAGGGGTTGGATGAGAGTAGTTTTTATTTTGGGTTTTTGGTTTTTGGCTATTATAGTTTTTACAGTTTTTAGAAAACTTGATTGGTAAAAATAATATTTTAACTTTTGGTTTTAGATTTTATATTTAAAAATTACCAAAAAGAATATTTATTATTAAAACAAAAATCATATTTATTAATATTAGTAACAACAATAATAAAAAAATCAATATCGAGAATCCCATAATGTCGCTGCAATTTCATCTCGAATTCCCTCCATATACATAATCGAAGTATCGTTCTGGTTTTCTTCGTCATTTTCATCATCCGATGAATCATCTTCATTTGTTGCATCACTTTCTTCAACGGATTCTGCCTCAAAATCAATATCTTGTAAGTTTGATAAACAAATAAAATTATGCAGTACCATTGTTGCCGCCACAACCTTTCGTTGGACCCGTATATTGTACCTGTGTTTTTCTTTCAAAACTCGCCATTTCGCCTTCCATATTCCGAAAGTTCGCTCGATTACTGATCTAAGAGAAGAATGCTTCTTGTTAAACATTTCCTTATAACTAGTAGGTTGGCATGATGTACTGTATTGATCAGGATGATACCTCTCTCCCCGATACGGTGTGAGAAAACCGGATCGAAGAGCATAACCAGAATCACCTAAATAATACTTTCCAACAAGGGGAATTAGAAAATTATGATTTCCCTTCATGGCTAATGCGAGAACCTTTGCATCATAAGCAGATCCAGGAATGTCAATCTACGCATATGTAAAAAATATGTCGAGATTACATATTGCTAATATGTTTAAACTAGTGTTGCTCTTCCGCGAGAGCATCTAAAACTTCGTAAAATTTTCGACCCACGGTCTCCTGTGCATGACCAAATACCTTTCCAGCATACTTCTGCGTTATGTTTTGAGCGCAAATATTAAGAAAAATGGCCACACTTTCCTCGATTTTGATTGTATCGGTTCCCTTCAAATCATAGTCACTCTCTAACTTTTGACATAATGATATGAAGACCGGTGGATACATCCTGATCATATTGTAGCATTGTTCTTCATGACCGTGAATTAATTCATGGACATATCGTCGTCCACGTTTTTGATCTAGATTCATCAATTGTCTTGGCATACTCTCCGAAAAAGGATATATGTATGACTCTTCAAAGAAGATGCTAGCATCATCTTCTTCATCATCTTCAATTATTCTATATAGCATCTGCATCCGATGAATATAAAAAGTTATATTAAATTAATAACATATGATCTAAAGATTTTAAACATGTAAATAAATAAGCTTGAAATGATAACAAATACTTATTTGATAACAAAAAAAACATAAAAATGTAAAATCAAGATAAAAAATACTTATTAGATAACATAAAAACATAAAAAAATAATTTATTTATATAGTAGTTCCTCGATCAATTTAAACATCCGTCCGTTTGATTCCTGTCATACGCTCTAGACAAGAAACGCGAGCTTACTCATCTGGCAAAGTCAAATAAACACGAGCATGTGCCTCGTTGCTTTGGAATATATTTATTGCCTCCCAATATAAAGACGAGTTATAAATAATACCGGATAAGGTAACCAATGAGTTAATTGCACACTCTAATTTATCATCATGTAAACGTTCATATATTTCTGTCCGCTTCATGAAGCTTCGTTAGTCACATAATCGAACGGAACTTTTAATGTTGAACGTTTACGTGATGACGAAGAAGAGTGTGAAGATTTACCATATAACCGTTTGGACCTTTGGTTATATGGGTGAGTATGTATTGTCTCACTTATATTATCCAGTGGCACAT